TGGTACAGATGTGGTGTGATCTTCCAATTAGGATCCTCTACTGCAAGGATCTCCACATTTCGGGTGCTCTTCGAATGCCTTCGAAGGGTGCTTCTTTCCCTCTCATCACTTCCTCCCCTATTCAATGTGGGATTCTATCTATATCTATGAGAAGAGGCAAGGTATTGTATCGGAAGTTATAATTTTCCTATAATGAAAATGTATTTCTGATAGGTACTTACCTTCTCTCACACTTCCCACCATTCCTCCCCACTGAAAACAGGTGCTTACATATTTTGCATATAGAGAGCAACACTGAACGAGAATAGCTGTATCTGTGAGAGAAGGTAAGTACCTATCAGAAATACATTTTCAGTATAGGAAAATTATAACTTGGATTAATCATAAATTAAGCCTATAAATACTTTTCCTAAAATTAATTGTTAGATCAAACATGTCATTGCAATTCTGGTTACAAGACCACTCCCTAAAGCTAGGTTTTAATAGAAAAATAACGATGAAAATAAGAAAAGTAAAAAATGCGACTCTGTCTTCATTTCACTAGTTGTTTCATTTTTTTTATATAACAGAAAAAAAAAAAGGAAGCCAAGAAATTTTCTCCTTTAATTAACTGATACCACTAATCAGTCATGGGGAAAATATTTACAGTTTTAACATACTACACGATTGTTTGATACTTGCCATATTGTATTAAAATATAAAGTACAAATTAGAAATGCAGATATTACCTATAGTTTAAACAGCATTTTTATAAAGGCTTTGATACTTATAATTTAATTAATGTTGCAGTGACTTTATTAACAGACTTCCCAAAAGTGTTGGCTTGTTTCAAATAAAATGATGAACATCTTAGATGACTCTGTTCAAAATTTAATTAATGTAGGGCCAATAAATCATTATAAATTAACAGGCCAAAGTTTTTACTCTTTCCCTGATGATAAGGTAAAGTTTTGACTGTGAAGGTGAAGAAACTGAACACTGCTCCAAAACCTTGTAGGGCTCTCCATTAAGCAAGTTAAGTGTTTCATAATTTTTCTTGATTGTCTTTAAAGTGTGGTTCTTTGAGCTCTAGGCCTTTTCCTTATTATAACTAGAAATCACTGTTGTCATATGTTGAGCTCTTTCTGTATTTGACTTTAATTTTCTCTTTACAGTGTTTTTTTAATAGGTGTAAGATATGATTTATTCAGTTCATTTTCTTTTTAAGCTATTCTTGGCCAAGAGATGCATGTGGGGTACAGTTGTATCCTCCACATCTATTACATTTGTTGCTTTCAATAGTCAATGACTTTTTCCTCGTTATCTTGTTGTGTTTTGCTCATTTTGGCTCACATTATCACTAAGGTTATTCTACATTGGCAGCTCGAATTTTCAATTGAAACATCAGTTTTTTAGAAATTGTAGTTTTCTACGAGTATCTTTTTAGACTCCAGGTCAGAGATGATGGGGTCTCTCTTAACTCCCTCAAGTACAAATTAGAGCAGTCCATCTTCAGGACAAAATTGTATCATTGAATTAAAAATAATTATAGAAAATATACTTGTAGTCATTTTTCCACACATTAAAAACAAACACAAATACTTGAAAGTTGAAATATCTTCAGTAAAAGTTTTATCTTTATTTAATTTTATACAAACAAAATAAAAAATTGCCAATTTTGATTTTTGGTTGGTTTTGGCTTGCTATAATATGGTACCTGTAGCCCTCTAATGTGAAAGACATAATAGTTTTGATCAAAAGAAGGTTAATTTTTTCTTGTAACTTGGTTACAGGTGCAGTTTTATTGATTTTTTTTGCCAGTCACTGTTTTTCAGTCTAAATTGTTTTAGTGTAATGTAATCTGCATATCATACTTCAATATCATAATTCAAATGAAGTATAAAATATAAAAGAAAATTTTCAAACTCCTTAAAAATAAAAATCAGGACTGTAATTCTAGCAGTTCTTGTTCATAAACACCTTTTTCTTCTAGCAGTATATAACCAAGCCAAGCTTTATCATTAGTTCCAATCTCTATGCAAATCTTTGCTGTACTGAAAACGTTATTGGGTTTTATAGTTGAAAAGAATAGTAAAAAAAACAAATTCTTACATGGTCAAGTGCAAAATGATTTAACTATGCCTACCTTATCTAGTTACAAAAAAAAAAATTTTTTTGCCGACAAAGCAGCTGTGTTAGGCTTTACCAGCATATGTAACTGCTTGGATGTGCAAATAAAACTGCCAAAAACAAATTTAGAAAATATAAATCAGTGCATATGAAACAGGTTTTAAACTTACTACATTTGTTATAGAAAAATCTCTGATTAATAATTTAAAAAAAAGGCAGTTTTCTTATAATTTGGGTAAGGTAAAAAATGAATTTTTATTGTGAAATAGTAATTGCAATCACATTGAAACTGGTGTGTTGTTTGTTGAATCAAAACAATGATATAATTTAGTTTTATGAAATAAAACTTCATAAGAAAGTTTTAAAATAATCTAAGAAAACATAAAAATCAGTAATTAAAATCTACAACAAAGGTAAACATTTGTATCAGAAAAACACAAAGAAATGAAATATCTTTGAAATTTCAAAACTGAAAATTAATACAGATATCAAATGTTTTATTTGTAGGAGCTACATAATCTGTAGAAAGTAATTCTGATTAAATTTTAAACTAATTCATTCAGTAGTTTGTTTTTGCAAAGCAGTTTAAAAAACCACACAACAGATGTGTCACACTTCTGTACCTGGATCTCATACAGTTCTTATCCCTACAGAATTTTACTGTACCTGCCTTAGATTATTTAGTCACTTATTAATAATGTTTGTAACACTAAGATCCTTTCAATCATTAGATTTTTAATCTTGAGTTTACTCACATCCTAACTAGGCTAGTGCTTCATCCAAGAGACAAAAACGTTCTTCTATTTTCCAGATGGCCCAGCATGGCCAGGTAGTTAGGGTACTTGACTCGCAATCTGAAAGTCGTGGGTTTGAATCCCCATCCCACCAAACCTGCTTGCCCTTTCAGCCATGGGGGCATTATAATGTGATGGTCAATCCCACTATTCATTGGTAAAAGAGTAGCCCAAAAGTTGGTGACAGGTGGTGATGACTAGCTGCCTTCCCTCTAGTCTTTCACTGCTAAATTAGGGACGGCTGGTGCAGATAGCCCTAACATAGCTTTGCACAAAATTCACAGCAAACCAAACCAATCTATTCCCCAGTGCCTGGTACAAGAGATACATGTACAGCAACATTCTCTTAAATAAGAAATATTTTACCATGTATTTTATGCCGTATTTATACCACGTTATTTATCTTAATTAATACCGAAAGGTTTTTGATTTTATTGTTATTCTATACTGAATCATTTTACAAAACCATGTTGAGTTTGGTCTATAAAGTGTAGCATTCTTGTACCTGGTGAGTTTAAATGATATGCTTTTTTGTGTTGTTACAAGTCTAAGAACACTTTACATTTGAAACTTCCAAGAGTTTTCTGATAATATAAATAATGTAACAGTTATTAATATCTACATGTAATTATGTAAAAAATAAAAATCAGTGAACTGAAATTTGACACCACTGCATTTCATTCATTCCTATAGGTCATTTCCTTCAGCAAATGACAACTTTTACTAGCTGTGCTATTACAATGTGCTATTGCATTTGATACTGATTATGTTCATTTGAAAGTAGTAGTACAGCTTAAATATCTGTGATCTAATGAATCAGATAATGACTTTATGTTTAAAGTGAGATGTGGCCACCATGTGGAAAGAGCACAAACTGAAAATATTATTATAATTTCTCAGTTAAATGGTAATTTAAGGCAATTGTACTTCATAAATGGTCAATCATTCTGACACTGAGACAAAATGAGCTGCAGATTTTTGTAAATAATTGTTTAATTAATTAATTAGTTCAGGATATAGTATTAAAATTTGTCATTTAATAATGTGTATTGTTTTATTATATTTTTTTTACTTATAAAACACTCCTATAATATTTTGTCCACTGTGGTCATAGTGTACAATATTATCTGTCTGACATTGTAGTAACAATTTTAGTATTGAAAAAGCTATTGGTAATAAGGAATTTACAGTACCCATATGCAATCTTTTCTTGTACTTTTTAGTTTTTTACATATATCACATTTCATAAATTAGTCTGAGGAGGGTGAACCTCTGGAAATTCAGAAATTAATCTTTGGTAACTTGTTAGGTACTGTGTGGATTTTGCTTACTATCTTCCAAACAGTTAACTGTATGATGCACATTCAAGGTGGAAACCTCAATTTTGAATAGTTGTATGAAGTATAAATTAAGAATATAATAACCACATATTTCTTAGTGGATTTTAGCTGCTTGTTTCATAAGTATTTAAAGGATTAATAGCTGACATATTGAACATAAGTAGAATTATTGTTTTTTAATACTAATTTATAGAGCAGGTTGATTTACAGAAAATAGTAACTTTTTAAATTAATTAGAAGATTTAACAAAACAGCACCAAGTGAAAGCTGACAAATTTTATTTGGTGCAGATAAAAGTGATGAGTACTTCTCAATCTAATTTTATAGAAAACTGTTTATTATAACTGAAGAGTTTTCTTAAATCCATCCAGAAACTATTTTAACTTCTGTACCATTTAGTTTTGTGGTTTGATAAAAGACAAAAAGTAATGCAGGTAAATCGGAAGTGGTAAGTTCACTGTGTCTGTACTATTCTTTACAACTAAATAGAACCTGTTAATTCATTCTGGACTCCATTATTTTCACGAATATTTGAACTTTTGTTTATCTAGAGAAAGCATAAGAATAATTTCAAGCCATTTTTAATTCTTTTAAGAGTATGCTATTTTACTTCATATTTCTCTAATGATATTGAACCAATTTTGTTTTTCTCAAAACCATTCCTTTGATACATTATGATTACCAATTACAGTAGTCCTTTTAACTAATTGTTTGCTTTTTTTCAAATGCTAACTGATTGTGACACTTGTATTTATAAAATGACTGCAGTCAAATTTTTTATATTTCAGTCATTGAAGCAGTTAAATCCTTGTCACCTATGGTAGTTGGTAGGAATTTGGATGAAATTTTCAATAACTTTGCTGGATTTTGGAGAGAGCTTACTAGTGACACACAGCTAAGATGGGTATGTGTGAAACATTTTTGAATACAAATAAGACCTCTACTGGGCAGAATTCTAAAAGATTTTCTAAAATTTATTCAAAGTGTGAAGAAATATGCTAAGTAAAAAATTTAAATTTTATTAAGAAAGCATTTATATGAAATGCGAGTAAAGAATATTGTATGGAAATAAACACACACACACACACACATCACATGTAGGTATGACACCTACTTCAAGGAATGTTTTACAAAGACATAGAAATCGTCAAGCTAAGCCTAATGTAAATCCCCTTGAACAACTAGCCCTTAAAAAGCTTAAAATAGATAATAACATCATCGTCAAAGAATCAGACAAATGTAAAGGTTTTTTAGTTATGAGTAAAAACATTTACAAATAAAAAAAATATTTGATCACGTTAAAGATGAGAATAAGTTTCAAATACTTAACAGTGACCCCACCAAAAAAATTGAGATGAAAGTGAAAAAGATTGTCTGTGAACTTACAAAAACAAGTAACCTCCCTAAGAAGCTAATGGATGTACTTAAACCCTCTAATAGCCACATCCCAGAATTATACAGTTTACCAAAAGAACATAAACTGGATATGCCACTAAGATCTATAGTCTCAGCATATGGCAGTGCTATTAAAAATGTCTTGGCTTATGCATACAATTTTGGTGCTGTTACTAAATTATGTTCCAGCATACTTAAATAATACAAAAACCTGCTATCACGAATCAAGGATGTACTTCACATAGTGACAAACACAACAATACCATTGGACGTTGGAGCTCTCTAGTCATCTATACAGACAGAAGATGCTGTCAATGCAGTGTGCGAATTCATGTCAAATCACATAAACAATTTGGAAATGTACGGACTGACGGTAGACACTGTCAGAGAAATATTGCATTTCATCCTACACAATGGCTATTTTTGTTTTGACAACAAACTATATCTCCAAGTAAGTGGTATCTGAATGGGTAATATAGTTGCTGTAATATTTATGCACGTTTTTGAAACAGTGGCACTTGACAAATGACCTTAAGATATCAACACTTTCCTTGATCTCTGGCTTAAATACATCAATGAGATGTTTGAACTGTGGAACCATGGTCTTCCTTCTTTAATCAAATTTTTAGACTTTCTAAGCTCCATAGACCTCAACATCCAATTCACTCTGAATCACTTGAATAACAAGAGAGCATATATTTTCTTGATGTTACCTTAAAGATCGATAGTGACAATAATATACAGTCTACCTTGTTTTACAAAACCATTAGAAACCCTTTCTTTTTTAAATTGAATTTCCATCATCCCAAAGCTTCCAAAAAAGGTGCATTTATTGGAAAATTGAAGAGAATTGTAGAGAAAAAAAAAAACAATACATGCTTCGAACTAAAATCACGTCTTCTCAGCAATGAATATTCTCCTTGTTACATCGAACAAATTTTCAAGAACTATGACATGTAAAAATCAGCATCACACAGATAAACAAGGAAGAAAAAACAATTTTCCAAAGACAACTAAAAAAAAAAAAAGATTACTTTTATAAAACCTCCCATTGGTGAAGCTATCTCAAAGAAAATAAAAACTATAATCAGGAAATCTGAACCACTAATTAAAGTTATAGAACAGTCAGATCTAACCCTCAAAAGCCATCTTTCAAAATCTCAGTACAGTACTCTACAATCCAATAAAGTCCACTGTCTTACAAAACCGTGCTTGCAATTTAATAATGGGTGTCTTGTTTCCAAGTTTGTTTACCATCTTACATGTAACATTTGTCATCATACATACATCGGGGAAACCAGAAGAACCTTACACACAAGGTTGACTCTGCTTATAAACAACAACATGAAAGAAGTGCAGTTGCAGATCATTTTTTAATTAATCATGGACAAATAACATCTGACATGAAACCACCATTCTCCATACAAATCCTCAACCAAAGCCACCAAGTACACTGACAGAAAATTCAGAAAAGCTCTTCCCATCAAATAACTATGACCACAGATGAATAGGGACAAAGGATGGTGCCTGTAATTTTTATTTTATTCTTTCACCCTATCTTTTTTGTTATTTAAATCTGTATCTTTGATAGAACTTTGTTTCAACAATTATTTCAACAGTACTTTTCTTTCAACAATAAGCTTTACTACTAAATATATCTAATACAAGGTATAGTAATGTACACTATAGATTCAATTAGAATTTATTATTTAAACCAACTGAAGCTTTGTACAGTCGGTTACAGTTTGTATTTTAATGGAACACTCCTGAAGAAGCTGTGAAGTGAAACCTTGTGTGTCCAGTTAAAGAAAAACAACAATTTGTTGCTATAAGGTCATTTGTTTCTAGTATTGAAATGTCTTCTGTACACCAATATGCACTACAGAAAATAATAATTATTCTGGTTTTACATTATAAATAAATATAAATACTCTTTAAGTAATTAAACTTAAATGCTGCTGGCAAAACAGAATTTATTGCTATTTATTTTATAGATAAGATATCAACTTTTATAAGGCTGTCTTTCTAATACAATATGTATGGGTAGTAAATAAGTTGTGAAACACAGTTATCATAGAAAGTTGTAAAAAGAAATCTTGTTTTGTTTCTAGACAGTGAAATATTTAATAAAGTTTCACTGATGGATTATGAGAGAATTATATTCCATGCAAATAAGTGTACAATTTCTCATTGAAAATGTAAATGTAAAATTATATGTAATGTGCAAACTAAAATATTCATAAATCAAAAGTCCTTAGAGTTTGTATATTTCGAATGATTTTACTGTTTTGATAGAGGACCATCAAAGTAATTTGAAAAAATATGTTGATATTATTCTGTACCTATTTTTACATTTTTTACTAAGAGCAATTGATCTTTCACTTCTCTCATAGTAGTCAGATAATAAAGTTAAGAAACTGCTGTGAAGAATAATTTGAAAACTATTTAAATTAATTACATACAATTAATCTTTAAAATAAAATTAAGAATTTTTGGCTAACATAACTATGGGAAATTAAAGCATTTTATTTACTGGCTATAAATTGAATTTTCTAACTAGATTTGTTGTAAAGATATTTTACTTTTCTGTTATGTTTAAAACACATATTATTAAATTTGATCAGATTGGACCAGAAAAGGGGGTGATTCATCTAGCCACTGCAGCCATTGTGAATGCTCTCTGGGACCTGTGGGCCAAAAAGGAATGCAAGCCACTCTGGAAGTTGCTTGTTGATATGGTTCGAAACACTTATATTTCATTTAACTTTGTAGTATGTTTAATAAGTACTAGTAATCCTAAAGGTTTGTGACAGTTCATGGCATTTCTTGTGACAATCCATCAGAGCCATTTATATATCAAATGGATTTTATTTTTTTGTTGATTAAAGTATTTTTAGATAGAGATACATATACATTTTATATTGGAATTGTTGTGACTTGATTAAACAAATACCAAGTAATTAACTCTTTCAGCATGGGCTCAGTCCCTGGGACCGACCTCATAACCATTTTGTGCTTGTTATATTTTTCATGCTATAACTTAAATTAGTAAGGGAATGTTGCCTATCTATTATGCAAAGTAATATTCATTTTAAGATTGAAAATACTTTTATGCATCA